GTTACTGAAAAGATAATGTTTGTTTCATGTGGTGTCAGATGCATTGTCTTTTCCTTCTCCCACTCTGACAAGCTGGGATACTTATGCTCTTTAATCTCATCTCATTTGCAGAGAAGGTGAATCCTAATTAAGGGAAGTCATATTGTTATTGTGAACTAAGCTCTAACATTTAGAATAATGTCGGGGGATTTTCAAAGAAGAAACATTTATCATCTAAAATCTGTACAAGATGCACATTATTAGACATCTTGCCAATCAAAAATGACATACATGTGTTCCAGAGTGTTCTCAAAGAGCGGGCTCTCTCCTCTCCTTTAACATGAAAGGGGTTTGAGGACATCATCAAAAGGTCAAACTTTATTACTCTGATTTACTGCTTTACTATAACACAAGGAGTGTCCACCGTAACCTGAAACATGGCAGTAATTTGCTTTATAATAGATAGTATAGCCAAAGAAATCAAGATAGATGTTATTGCAAGATAAAATGGCCCAGTTCAAAGGCATTATTGGCTAAATATTGTACATCTTAGCTCTGATACTTGGTAGCAGCTGGAAAATAAAGCTGGGTGAAATGGTTAACCCAGCGTTCATATTGCGTTCATTGATGTTTCTATCACCACTCGGTGTGTGTGCATATCTGTGTATTTATTTCACTACAGTTAAAATCAGTTTCCTTTGTGAAGACTGTGCAGCAGGCCTCCATCAGAACCAAAATAGTTCTGGTTAGTGTAAGTGTTAGCATAAAATAACACTTCTGAATAACTTTTAAGAGGCCTGCCACAGAGTTGGAACCGTCCCGAGGTGGATTTCCATCCTCGGTTCCTTTGCCGTGCGTCTTCCCTCCTTCCCTCCTTCTGCCAAATGAAGATACCAACACCAAAAAAGGTTGTAATAAAAAAGAGCACCTGAGTTGGAACCAAGCATTTTATTATGATGCTGGAAATTAGCAATGGTGCTAAGGTGAAGTAAAAAGTAGTTGATAGCATTTGTAGTATCATTATTACATTGACTAATATGAACTAACTGAACAAACAGTACACAAACATTCTATGATGGTGTAGCAAGCTCAACAGAACTTAATACGCCAGTCTATAATCTACTGATAATGGATGGATTGATGATGAATCCAGTCAAACAGGACCTGGTCCGGTTCTGGTCCGGGTGGATGCTGTTTCAGGATGCAAGATGGCGTCTTGGTAAGGCTTCTGTTCTCAAGCTCCGCTTGAAACTGTACTTAAAGCCATTATTTAACCTGTCTAGTTTGACATCTCGGTCCTTATCACGATCGTGCTCAGATCAAATAACAAGAGAAAAGACAGTCGTCCAACATGAACAGTGTAAACCTTGACCTGCATAACATCTCTGGCCGCTGCCTGATATCCCAGTAAAATCCCCTCTTATGAAGAAGGGAAAGCCCTTCGCCAGTACCGATGACCCAGATGACATTGTTATCAGACTCTGACCAAGCTTGGTCTTCATCAGAGTCTGTCTGCTGTTGCATTCACAACTAAATTAACATCCTCCCAGTATATTGAATGACATATTTAGCAAACAGAAACAAAGCACATCATGTACAGACTGGATAGATGTTTTCAGGATTGAGAAGATAAAGTTGAGGTAACACAGAACAGGAGCATATCCCACAGCAGATTATGACTGATGAGGACCAAGCCTGATAACAACAAGGCTCATCAGTACTGATTTTATTTATTTTTTTAAACTGTCCCATAAAACAAAAGGATTTAATCCTCTTCTGACTGCTATTTTTATAGCCACCGCTTATTTTACAACTGGGATCTTTTTCAATTTTGTTGCTGAAAGCACAAAGTTTGATGCATGACCCAGACGTCATGCATCATAGAAGCTACAATACCATTTTGCTTAGCCCTGAGGAACTCTGATTTCTACCATGCTTAATGGATTATTCAGTCAGCCTCAGCTTTGTATGAGACAGATCTGCCTGAACAAGTCTGAAGATGATGCATCACTTCTTTGATACTGCAGCTTCACACGCCCTGGTGGAAACCAGTACTTTCCACTGTTCACTGTAAAAGCCTCTGTAAATTAAATTAAACATCACACATAGGATTATATTATTATCTGAACTCATTGCATTTCTTTATCATAAGGTCAACTTAATGTATATTGCAACAAACCGAGTTTTACTAATCTGTTTTGAACACATTTCATGTCAGTATATGCAATTTTGTACAAGTTGAAACCCAAAACACAAACTGTTAAAGCCAAAGAAAACAACACCATCATTTATATCATTTATCACTTAGACACAAATGAACAAAGACACTGTATGTGCTTTTGACCATGAGCACATTTGTGCCATGAAACATTTTTATTAAAAATTTGTTTATTTCACTAGAAAAAATTATGTAACCAATCAAGGGAAATGTGTCTGGTGTTGTTCCTTTTAGCTAATACAACCAAAGTGTGTATTCAGCTGACACACATATATATATATATATATATATATATATATATATATATATATAATATATATATATATATATATATATATATATATATATATATAAAGCTGTAAAACCTGTTTTTCTCTACTCCAAAGAAAAAGAGGATTGCATTGAGTGCTGTTCCTCGTGAGCATTTAAAGTTATGTGAATCTCTAAACAATAGAAACAACAAGACGTAATTTATCAGTCTCTTTGGAGAAGCCTCGGGCAATGCATACCATCCACACACGCACGCACACACTACATGTAACACAGCACTCCTGTTCACAGTCTGGCAAGTTGCTTTGGTTGTTTAGGATCAAGAAGTCTTTTAGAGGAACAAAGACTCACACAGATGGCAAAGATATAAACAGTTATCACAGCAACACAATGGGAGAGTAGATTAATTGCTTATTCCTGGAGCTCACAGTGAGATTTACACTGTACTAAGACTCCAGAAATTTCAAATTCAGTCTATTTTAAACCTTGTAAATATAAGAGAAAACACTCCGTGCTTGTCTGCAGATCTTAGTTCACCTTTTCTTTCATATCCACACACCCACATTTTAAGTTTGTTTGCTAGAACATGTGGGCTCATTTTAAATCCATGCGTACATAGGTTTAGTTAACCTAATTTAGGAGACTTATCAATTAAATCTAATCTCAACCAAAATCATACAGGCTGACAAATGAATGCAGCTACAAGAAGATGTGTTTGAATGTTTTGTTGTCTTTATTTCCACTTCCTTACTCTCCAGTTTGTAAAACCGTCAGGAACTGGGTGCTACCCAGTCTGGTTCAGCCTGAAGCCACATGTCCTGGTTCAGCAAAGTACCAAGTAAGCTCAGGTGTTAGATTAGCCTTTGGTTCACTGATGAATCTAATCATTACAGAGTATGAATCAGCAGATAACATGTGTCTGTTGTATATTCCAAATCTGCCTGCACAGGTTTGGAAACGATGCATCACTCTTGTTACTGTCACGTTACAGATCACCAGGGAAACCACAAATGTCTGTGGTGCATCATGGTGAAAAGTCCCAGAAAAGTGTGAAATATAACAGCTTTGCTCGCAGAAAGACAGGGACGTAGGTATGTGCACCTGGAATGTGAAACAGGCTTGAGGAACATGTTTAGGTAACAATTTATAAAAGCTGGGTAAAAAAATAAATAAATAAAATCTTACGCTCCCCAGTGTTAAGATTTCCACTTCTCCAGGGACTGAGGAGTTTACAGTAAACTGAAAAGAAAGGATTTGGGATTGAATCCCAACATGCAGGAAAATAATGAAAGACAGCAGCAAAAATTCCCTCAAACCCTCCCCTCTTTTCTACTTCTTCTGTGCTACGTATCTCTACTCCCTTCACTTCTCCACTTTTGCCGAATCCATCATCATCAGAAAAATCCCATGCGCAAGCTGAACGTTAAGCTCTTCGTCAATCATTTGCAGGAGGATGATTGTAAAAAAAAATTATGCGTCATCACAATCTGACTCATAGGGAGTGCAAGCTCCTTCAGGTTTACACGTCCCACCCTAAAAAAAAAAAATCAAAGGCAAGACTAGATCTTTAACAAATAACTAAAGCCGTGATCAAGTGTGGAATCTGGAAATTAGAAAGTTTTTTTTCGGTACGTTAAATGAAAGCGTTACAAAACATATTCGAGTTGTGTCACCTGATATTAATCATTTAATATGTTAAAACTTGAATCATATCCTGGCTGAACATGACCCACCTTTATTTGATTAATCCTTCCTGCTTCACCCACAAACTGTTGGCATGATCAAACATCCCCACTGCCTCACACACACCAGCAGGAAATGAAAACACACCCTTAAAATGGGCTGAGATCACATATTACAGAGTCTCTTGAGATTTATCAACATTTACTCAAACCGTAGCAGTGTAGCGTCTAAAGCAGTGGCTGACCTCTTAGTTGTTCTCAAAATGCTTTAAGAGCTTTGTCTGAACTTGTTCTCACGTTTTGCTCAACATTACAACAATCTGAAGACTGGATGCAAAGACAGAGCACAGTAAAGAAAAGTCAATGAATTGCTTTTACTTCCCCGAGCAAATACTTAACCCCTTCCTTTTTAATTTTACCTAAAAAAAAGTGACATGAAGTCAAGATATTACATTGCTCAATGCCTATCAAGCCTCTGAACAATTAGTTGCAGGCTCTGCAACTTAGCGATGGTGCATAACTGGTGACAGCTCTGTTGGATTAATGTTGATATGGAGACATAAGTGCCAAGAGGCAGGCTTGCTTAAACTCAGATTTACACACGGGTTTTTCCAACCCTGCAATGAGAAACAAATACAAAAGGGTCAAATGGGGTGTAGAGCTGCTTCTAATTAACAGACTGAAAGGGCGTGAAACATTATCAGGAAAGTCTGAGTTTGTGCTGCCACCTCCTGGCCTCATTTATCATCTGAATTTGGATATGAAGAGTTAAGAGTCAAGTATTTCCAGAAAAATACATATCTACAATCCAGACAGTTTCAAGTTTAAATGCACAAAGGGAGTAAAACTCAAAAAAAAAAAAAGACATTATTTTATTTTTTTAATGCAACTTATAAAGTTTAAGTTACACTAAAGGTTTATGTGAGGAAAACTGGCATTTAGCTTAAGAAAAACATAATTTATAAGACAATGAAATGCCTGAACCACATTAGTTCAACTTTAGCAGCAAGTCTCAAGCTCCATACAGAACAAGGCTATGTTGCTTAACGATCGAAGATCTTGGTCTTTGCCATTCTTCGGTAAGAGCTGGTACCATAACTGTTTTTCTATTTTAATCACAAAAAGTAGCTTAGATCCACAATTGATGTGCCATTCGAAGTCATAGTCCATTTCTGTCACAGGTTGTTTTCTTCTGGTAGTTTGGTGAGAATCTTCACTCCGTCAGATGTGATGAGCACCGTGTGTTCAAACTGAGCTGACCTATGTGATCAAATTTAAGCAAAATTTTGTAAGGAGCAAATTCAATTTTAAACAGAAAAATCCACTTAACCCTCTTTCAACTCTTTCCTCTCACCTTTCACCCTTAATTCTATGTTTATAAAAAGTAGGATAACCCAATTGTTTCTATCAAATATGCATACTAAAAAATAAACTAAGTGTAAATATTTTCTGTTGATATATTTACAAAGGTACAAAAACAACTGTGATTTATACTTTCTATGTATTACCAAATGTACTTAGTACACTTAATTTTGAAATAGGCTAATCATCTTTATTCTAGTATGTTTGTTGATTAGTATAGTTCTGTTGTTTTCGGATGAAATACACCATGTGGTATATTTGTCTGTTCTCTAAATCCAGTTAGATACATTAAAGTACATGTATTTTTCAAAAAGGTTACATTAGGCTTTCATATAGTTTCATCTAAATGAGCATAAAAGTAATGAATGCTGAACTAATGGAACCAATGATCTATCAGCCTCTATCCATGAATTAAGTGTTTAGGGCAAAGGTACAGTATTCAGTCTCAAATCCAAACTATTTATTCTGTTATAAACCTTTTTTTATGTTGTGAGCAAAAACTTCAGAGTCTATTCTGGGGTGATTTGCAGATTTGTAACAACCTCCTGCAAAAATGTAACAAACCGAGCATAACTCCTCAGTTGAGCCCTCCTAAAATTTTCATATCTCATTTAGTATGGTCCAGGAGTCTCTGCATGCCACATGTTGAACGAAACTCAGCAGTAAGCTGCTGTTTCTTAACGCTATCATTCAGCTTCAGTGTAATAAGATGTTACAAATACAAAGGACTTCTTACCTTTTATTGTCGACCGACACTGCAGTCCATTTGTCCTTAAGGATTCTGAACTCTGGAGACCCCTCCATCACTATAGGCTCTAACAGATCAAGATTAACAGACATTAACAACCATTAATCCCAGAGATTTGCATATTTATGTAGAAAAAAAAACAACTTTGAATTATCCTACCTATTGTGAAAGACATCCCTTCATCCATGGTTATGTCATTATCATTAGCTGAAATGAAAAGCATTCTTTATCATACTGAACCAATACAAGCCTTGCTTTTTCTTGTGAATGTATAATAAATGCATAATAATAAAAATCTAATTCTCTAAATCACATTATGGCAATTAAGGACCAACTTACCATGGTGCCAAATCTCAGGATGGCAATGAAAATACGAGCCTATTCCATGTCCAATGAAATATGGACAAACTTGAAAGCCATTGGACTGGGCTATTTCACTGCAGATACAGAACCAATTTAGCATGAGTGGTAAACTAGAAAAAGAACAACACCCAGTTGTATGTGAACATTTGACATGTGTATTCGCTGCAAAGTATACCTAATAGTATTTCCTATAACACAAAGCTGTGTTCCTGGTTTGCATATGGCAATGGCCTCATCTCTGCAACTCCTCGCCGTTTCCACCAGCCGCTGCCCAACCTCATCCACCTGACCAATCAAGAAGGTTTCTGAGGTGTCACCATGGTAACCATCCAAATACACCTATTCCAAACAAAGCCAAGGTAAGAAATGTGGGTTTTATTGTTGGCATCTGCAGCATAAGGTTTTCTTTCTAAAATGTGGAACACTGCATAAACTTACTGTGACGTCGACGTTGATAATGTCACCATCTTCAAGTTTGCGGCTGCAGATCAGAACATTGCAAAACAGCTTACAATTGTTACCTTGCCACACATGTGTTTCATGAAAGTTCCCTTTGTTCTTTAAAGATTTGACATTGTGGAAAGATGTTACCCGAGTTTAGTTTTTTTTTTTTTTTTAAACTGCTTTGAAAACAGAAATAATGTAAAGATTTAGCCTGACTTTAAAAGGGAATTTGCCAACTATTCAAACGGTTTACCTGTCAGGTATGCCATGACACACCACATTGTTCACAGATGTACAGACTGACTTGGGAAAACCTCCGTATCCAAGAGGGGAGGGGTAAGCATTGTGCCTGATCGTCTCCTGGTGCACAATAAAGTCTATTTCATCTGTTGTCATGCCAACCTGAAAGCCACAAATAACCACAGACGTTGTTGTTTATATTCTGATGACACATAAACTTAACTAAGACTTGCAGCGGTTTTATTCCTACTTTCAGAGTGCCTCCAGCAAGTAGCAGTACATGTCTGGCGAGTTGACATGCTCTGGCAAGACCTTCGATCTGCTCTTGGTTCTTGATCTCGATGTAGTCCGGCCATTCTGGGACCAGCCCAGTGGTGACGTAGTCAGGCTGCACGATGTGCTTCAGTCAGAGGGAAGATAAAAAGAGATGCATGTAAATTAACTGGACTGAACTGAACTCTAAACTTAAATAGTTTCTGTTTAGATTACACCAGCATAAGTTAGTGAAGCCAGTTGAAAACTAAAGGGAAAAAATAGACTACGGTAGTAGGATTCAGGAATGTGAAATTGAGACAATACGGATAACTGAGAAAACGTCCTTCACCTTGCATTCACTTTCATTTTTTTCTATTCAACTCATCTGCAATTACTTTTTGGTCTCTGGGTTTATTGTTCAAAAGCATCAACATTTAAGCAGAAGTTCAAACTAAAAGATACATCAATAAATCAAAAGTCATTTTTTCAGAGTGTAATGATACCTTAGGTACTGCGTAGGCTGGCTGAACAGTAGCAGGCCGAACCACGTTGTGAGAAGTGTTCCATTTCCGCCAGAAAAAGCTACGATGTTGCTCACACAGAAGATCTTTGGAGCGACTCCGCCTTCCGAGAGATGAAACTCTTTGCAGGAAACGACCCACTCCTACAAAAATCATTGTTTTTATTATTCTTCATAAAAAGACCATACTCTTTTGTTAAAAGAATAGAGACAATTTTTTTTGTTCAGACTTTTGAGATTTCTAATTATTTGTGCTTTCTTTACGTAACTAACTACTCAATGATGCATGCAACAAGGAAGCATACAACTCAAATATGACGTGCCATGCAAAACTATTTATAACCTTTGATCATTGTTGTTTTATTTTGTCATGTTCTGATCGAAACCCTAAATGCTTTATAATAGGATTACTTATGTTTTTGGCCAACACATATGTGAAAAATATTTTTAAAAGTCTATACTTCTCTCCCTCTGAGTCAAATGCTTTCTTGAAGAACTTTTCACAGCTCCATGTCTTTTGGGGTAGGTTTCTGCTGGCTTTACACATCCACAGACTGCCCTATCTGCCCATTTCTCTTTGTACAGTTAGAATATGAACAATATCTGTAAACACTTGTTTTCAAATCTTGCTAAAGACTCAAAACACTTTAAGACTGGATTTTGACTGTGCTTTGATCTAAAGTGCTCCATAGCAGTTTTGGTAGTTGTTCTACCATGAGGTGAACCTTTATCCTGCTCCAAATGGTCTTGCAGCCTCTTACAACCTCAAGCCTGCAGCCGTGACCTTTTTGCTGTGTTATTTTGGTCTTTATAATGCTGTTTGGTCACAAATAAGCCTGATCCTTCACAGAGACGGCGTTAAGCACAGAAGGGCAATGTCAAAACTATGTATCTTCTCCAATCCAGATTACGATTATCCACTATATCACTCAGATAAACTAGTAATAAAATACAGTCAGAATTGGCGGCTGTAGCATAAAAGCTTTTCTTACGTTACCTTATTCATAGAAACTAATACAAATATAGATTAAAATAGCGTTCTGCTCATAAATTAGCTCAACAAAGTAATAATTTACCCTGTACTGAAAACGGATTTTCGTTTTAAATTAAGCCGCTCATGTTAACTGACTAACACTGAAGGAGCTGAAACGAAGTGATATGTATGTTCATAAAGTACCTTTCCTGACGGGGAGACCCACAGAGCAGCGAGCGACGGCGGCCGCCATTAAATATAACCTGCTGTGGTCACGTGATCGAAACAATGCCGGTCACGTGACCATAACCGGTTTACTTTGCGACTGTCACGTGACTCAGGGCGGTTGTAACCATAACTTCTCAGCCCATTTAGCCTCACGGCTTTCATTACTCCAGGCCATTTGTGCTATGGTTTCTCTTGCAGTTGATTTTTGTTTAGCTTGCTTTGTTGTGTCCCAACACTTGTTGAGAGCAGAATTCCCCGAACTGCTCATCTTTTGGTCTATGGCAACACTAAAAGCCTTTAGTGTCTGTTTTACTGCAAATTTAAACACAATTTATAGATACATTTAAGCAAATAATGTTCAGGTTCACATCACTTTTTATCCTCTCAGCAAACTGTATTTACACATAGAATAAAACTGCAACAAAACAGCACTGAAAAATAGGCGGTGCACCAGATTTCCTTAATTTTGGGAGACTTGTGATCAGCCGATACTTGCATGTGAAGGAGAGCTGTGAGAGTCACACCGACAGACCAGCCCACCAGCTCACTTATCTGCACGTTTGCAGTTATATTTAGCAACATTTCAGACAAAAACAATCAGTATCGGTCAAAAATGTAATCGGCAGGTCAGGCTTCTTAAAGACTGGTGATCGATCAGCCAGAAAACTGCAATTGGTGCAACCCCTGCTGAAAAATACGAACAGCAACAACAAGATACCGGTTGTCAATTGACCCCCTGTATTTTTGTCCCACTTTTTATGTCAGTGGTAAATATTTTTTTATACACATGTTGGAGGGTAAAAAAGGCCAAAGTTTTCCAATTATAATACTTTGTTGGTAATATATTCTGATAACAGTAACAACAATGTTTAACTACCACAATTTTTGTTAATCTCAAACATACAAAGCACTACATTTTGATTTCATTGAGAATAATGTACATTATCTGAGAAAAGCTTAGAAAAATAACTCACATTAAAATCAGGTTTTATAGACCCTATTTACATATTATACCTCCACTTTGATATTTTTACAATTATCTGTTACTGTGGCCTCTAGATTTATAAAGGCGTAGCCCCGTTTTTATATGAATTGTTTTGACATAATAACATGACTGACTTAACCTGAAACAATCATTCCTTTTGAATGGTTGTTTTTCTTTCAGCCTCTCCAATTCAGTAAGTTTCGATTCATTGTTCAGTCTTGGTTTTTGGCCAATCCATTCTCATCTTTCAGTCAAACCACAGAGTTTGTTAGTTGTTGTTACTTGTTAGTAATGAATCACAGTTTCATTTTCAAATAAAACTTTTTTTTTTTTTCAAATGAAACTGATTCATTTGAAAATCAGTTTAAGACATGTTTAAGCCTTTTTGGCGCCCTCTATTGAACATTATGGGGAACTGTCAAATGTGTGAAACTCACCCCTTTTTTACTGCCTAATTACCAAATAAATAAAATGCCTCTTTTTATAGTTGTTTTGATTGTTTAATTTCTAAATAATCAAACACAATCACCTAGATAAAGCGAGGCGTTCATCATACACTTCACATTGTATGGACACTAAAACATTATACTAAGCTATTGTGATACCAGATTCTAAATTTTGAGGTTAGTAGTATATTTGACCCCTTTTGTTGACCCTTACCATAAACAACTAAAAATAGATGACATTGCCTGTATTTTAAGCAACATTACATAACACAACCCCTGGTAACTCACACAGCAGAGAGTCACAGCCTTATCAGGCTGGTAAGACAAACATTAGTCTTATCAACTATGAATACACAGCCATGGTTAGTAAAGATAAAGTGTTGTAAATATATTTTTGATCAAATAAATCCTAAAAATTACATTTAATTAACTGAATTTTTAAAAAAATCTAGCGTATCACTAATAAGTGACACAGTTTGGCGTTCTGGTTGAATAGTAATTTTTAAAACCTTTACTAAAACGTGTGTGTGCTAAGAACAGTGTTTCAATTACAAATGCAATGTAGCTTTTTTTTTTTCTTTTCTTTTTAAATTTGATAAGACCAAAATGCAGGGTTGACCCTGGACAGGCAGCCAGTCTGCAGCAGTATTGGAACCTACTTTATCCTTAATTATTTCATTGGAAGTGGTTCATCGTCACAGTGCAGGGCAGTATTCCAAGTGTTTCTGAGTCAAACTCAGAAACATGTTGTTAATGTTGTCATTAACAACTTGTTAACGTTCTCCTAAAATGTGGTTTTCTGATCTACTTTCAGATGTGTTGTGGAGTATTGTTGACTAATAGTTGGGCATTAAAAAGAAAAATAGGCAACTAATCCGCAGCTTGTTCACACTGGCTGAGAGTGATGTAAGATTTCTCACATAAGCGCCTCTGTATTTGCGTGTTATCGCGTTATACAAGTATAGTTCACCAAGTAAGACCCCTGAATCACATTCAATCCGAATTTGTTCTGTGTTTGGTTAGCTTGTTGTGATTAGCGTGTTGAGTTGTATTCTTTTAAGCGGTCGCTCCCTCACTCTCCTCCTCAGACCTGAGGCTGAGGTGCGTCTGCGCTGCTCGCCCACTGCGTGTGACGTCAAACCAGCATGGCGGTCAAGGTGACTTGGGCATTGGTCTTTTATCCATTTCCCCACTTTTACTCTCGAGACTATTCGTGTTTTCTGACCTTTTTGCCGCATATGGGTTGTTGAAGCTCGGCTGCGTGGTCGTGTCCGGGGTGGGCGTCTCTGGTCCGCTGCAGTCCGACGCTGTAGCATCACTCGGGCTAACTGCCGTCCCTGCGGCGGTTGGCCTTGATGTGAGACATTTACGATTCAGAAGTAGCCGGAAACAATAAGAAACCGCTTGTATGACCGCCCGGCTGGCCACAGATGTACTAGTGTTTGTGTGGAGTCGGGCTTTTGTTCGTGCTCTCCGTTCCGCATTTCGTGGACGTAAATGTTAATACGTCGTGGCAGATTGCCTCTATGCTAGCTTGCTCCCCGGTTTGTCCATCTCTACGTCTTTGCCTGTGGAGTGTAATGTAATTTTGGCCACCCAACTTTTCCAACTTTTCCAGCTCCGCGACGACGAGCCACCTTTCTTTAGCAGCTTTGACATTCCTGTGACATTTGCTGAATGGCGTTAGCTCGTTTATCTTTCCGCCTTGTGAAAACCTGATTGAATCAGCAGCTTGCTTGGGAACCTGAAGACCTGCACTGTCACTGTTGGATCGCTTACTCGTTCTGTGTGTTTGCTTGTAGGTGCAATCTACCAAACGTGGGGATCCAAATGAGCTGAAGACCATTTTCCAGAAGGTAAAAAGCTTTACGCGTCTTTATTCCTACAAAAAATAACATCAGTTGTGCAAAACGACATATTACCAGTTTGTAAATGGCTTTCTTAGATGAGTAAAAGTTTTCATCAGTTGTCCTTGGAGTCAATGACGTTGCAATCTACTGAGCTCCTTTTAACAGATAACTTCTAACCAGGTGGCATTATATGATCAACAGACCTTGATCAAACTGGTATAAATAGGGCTACGTGATTGATTTTTGTACATGAATTCAGATGACATTGATGATAATTTAGCACTACATCAATAAACTGAATTGAACTAAGTTCCTTTTGCAGACAAAGCAGTTGAAAGTCTCCAGTGAAAATGTAATTTGTGCTTTTTGTAGTTTGCAAGACTTTTAAATTATTCTTTTGAAGGCAGTAAAGTACTTTCAGACAGTAGTTTCTGTCTGGTTCTTGAATGCTCCAAAGCATAGCTTCAAGTTAGCACTCTATCCAAAATGAAAAAAAAAAAAAAAATTCTGGATTGTAAACTTGCCAGTGAAGCATGCCACACCAGTTCTCATTACTATGTTGAAATGAAAATACTGCAGTCAAACTAAAACTGCTGTTTACCAGAAAATATGCAGCAAATGACGGCACCAGCATAAACATTGTTGTTTTTAAAACTCCTAAAATGAGCAGTCTGAGCACTTCCCCTCCCAACTTGTTGCTGTCAGCTGCCTGAAAGTTCTTAACTAACTTGTTACATTTATGTTGCTCTCTAAAAAGTAGAATAGATGCTGTTATGTCCATTGAGTACGTTTTCTTAAACTTAGCATTTTGCTTTTTTTCATATTCTAACAACATTGCTTTCAAAAAGAAAAAGCAGTTAGATAATTTTACATGTTTTGGTTTTAATTGCTATTCGTGGTATTTATGCAATGAGACTCTCTGTGTAATCATGGTGCTGCTGTGTGTGCCTTCACCTTGCTCTGCTGTGTGCTGCATGATGAGCGTGTGTGACCCGGTGTGTGATCTTTAAGCGGGTCAGCAGGTTTTAGTGTGCTGACATTAACAGGTCAGATAACCGAGGAGCTTGAGCCGAAAGCATCGGCACACATTTGTTTGCACGCCTTCACATGTGCCAAGACGCATGTGGTCAGTGCCGTACTACAAATACTGTAGTAGCTACTCCAGTTTTTCGGTGTGTGAGCCAAAAATAAATAAATAAAAATGAGTATTACTTAAAGGGGTCATTCGTCTTTTCTCTTTTGTTAGTACGCCAGTGTAGTGGACAAGGATGGCGATAGGTTCATGACCCCGGAAGACTTTGTCCAGAAGTATCTGGGACTGCACACACGGATTCACCACAACCCCAAAACGGTCCAGCTCATCGCCGCTGTAGCCGACACCACAAAGGACGGGTACGCTGATGCAGTCAGTGCACAGACACACAAAACCCTTAGCTTATCATTAGTACTTCATTTCTTATGACATTTGCAGGTCAGTAGCAGTAATTATGCTTAGAGATAAGATAGCACTACCTGTGTCTCAGCAGCAGGCCTTATGTCATACATATTCAGTACCATAATGTCCAACTAATGGCTGAAACATGATGTTTAACCGTGTTCTTTTGCTAATATGCCCATGTGAAAACGGAGAGTTCTTTTTCTGACAGTGTTGTATGATCCAACAGTCAATTTTGCCTTTCATTTTAATTGAGATAATTGATTTTGTGCTCCTTTTGTTTAACCTACACAATTGTAGGCTGATCTCATTCCAGGAGTTTCTTGCCTTTGAATCGGTGCT